CTCGTAAAACTAATGCCTAATGTCATTTAGGCAAAGAGTCTCTACTTGACCCACACCCAACGCTACAAAACCTAGGCTTGCTATTGTCCAAGCATAAAGTTATTGCTTTGATCATGCTTGGCACCACTCAATTAGGGTTCGGTGTCACCAAGATAGAAAGCTCTAAAGGCAATAATGCCTGATGCCTTTCAACCTATATTTGACATAATCAAGACAAAGAGCTCCCATCTACCAATCACATGGTCAACATCAATGAGACAGAGAACCTTTAACCTACATCATGCTCGACATTATGAAGTTGTGCCCAACGTGATTGTGATTTATGCATTTGGTAGAATCACAATTTTAGCTCCCATCACCTGAAACTTAGTCCAAAACAACATGCAACATAAGAAAACACAACTATACATCATAATTAACTTATATATTTCAAAAATTTCAACATGTAACCAACCAATAACTCATATCATGATTTTCTTCTTAACTTTTTCAAAAACTAACAAAATCCGAAACCAAGATATATCTCTTCTTCAAATCAGCAACACAACCACAAGAAATGAGATTCAAGTTACAATGAACACATAGAATACAACTATAATTTAATATGCAAGCTTCCCTTACCTCAAATCACCTAGAATATAGGTAGAAGAAAATAATGGGATCCTTTGGGGAACTCCATACAATAACTCTGAGGTCTTTGATTCTTAGTTTTCGAAGCTTTGAATCTCTACACGACTACTCAATCTTACTCAGAGGAAGCAATCTACACTCTCTACAAAATTAACAAGAGGAAAGAAGTCTATCTAGCTCCAGAGCTCGTCTCTCTAACTTCTCCCAAATTTTCTTAAGAAATAAACTTATGAAATTTATATTTTATGAAAAACCTTATATACATTCCCCCTTAACTTGGTCAACTTTTATCTCAACTCAAAATAATTTCTAAACAACTAAACTCATAAGAATTATTTAATCTTTAGAGTTTTACAATAATTAAACAACTAAACATACAATCAATTAAATCAATAAAATCAACAATTATTAATAAAATTCACAATGTTACAAGTTCGGTTCATTGTCACCCCTAAATACAATACACAAACACAACTTTATGGATTTGATTGGTTGGTGACAAATTAGTGATTGGCATTTTTTTTTTCGCTCCACAACATGCTTTGGTCCTAGAAATTCAAAAATCATGTGATTTACCAGTACACACATGAAAAGAAACTAGGTGGGATACAAAGTGAACAATGAAAGTATAGTTTCATCAATCCAACTAGAGGATTCTCATTGTGTGTTGTATTACTCTTTTAAAAGCTTCTTGAAAGTGATAAGGAGAAATAATAGCCAAGTTTTATGCCTATATTTTATGAGAACAATATAGCATCCTTAAGACTTATGCTTCAGATGGAAATTCTTTTTTGTTTTGGTTAATTTATTGTCTATGACCAAGATATATGTATAATTTTTCTTCGAATTTTTTGGAATCAAAACTTGTTGTGAAGGGAAAGAATTGCGCAATCAATAATTTGATGTCAGCCGGTAAAAACTATAAGGCCATGTTTGTGTTTTACACCATATTAGATAAAAATCAATCAATTTAAAAATATTCGACACAATATAAAACAAAGGTGTAGAAGTCATTATTTCCAATGATAATATGAAGCATCTTAAATAAAACATAAACACTATAGGCTTTCACACTTCTACCATGAATCAAACACTTATGCGGAAGTAAATATATTAATTAATTTAACATCTATAAAAAAAAATAGACATTTGTATGCAATATAAGAATAAAGAAAATACCAAAAAGTGTAGTTTAAAACATCGATCAATTTTTACATGTGGTAAAGTAACATTACCTTATTATTTAACATGATTAATTAAACAAAAGTATGTAAAATAATTGTGTATATATCATCTTAATTACTCTTAGGAATAAGTTTGTAGCTTTATATATATATATATATATATATATATATATATATAT